TTTATGATATTTTCTTCTCTCAATAATTTTATATCTCCTGCATTAAAGATAATAAAAGATTTGAGTAGATTTTATGCAAAAATCATCTTTTATCTTATAATTAATTTAAAAGAAGATACATTAATAAAAGATGGTTAAATAGGTATAAATTATCCATAGATTTCACTAAATATATTTCAAAATCTATACCTATTTAATTATAAAAATAATCATTATCAAAGGAATAATGTAAAACTTATTGATGGATTATTTCCCTTGATGCACAATAATGCTTTGCAATCGAATCATGATTGGACTAGGGGGAAATAGTAATTAAGATCTTGATCATCTCGTACTATTTTCTTGAGTTTCTTAAACTCATCAAAATTTTGATCAACATCACTCCTCAACTTTTGACTCAAGAAGATATAAATGTCACTAGTGTATACGACACATTTTTCTTTGAAAGAAAATTGAAAAATTAAAAAAAAAGAATTATAATAAGGTCTCAAGGAAAAAAAAGCAATTATCAGTAAGTCCCAATAACAAAGGAGCAATTGTCATTTACTATCCTAGAATTTGTCATTAGAGGCCGCTCGTGTTGTCACTGGGACTTTTTGATGATTATATGCCTTACTTGGGATTTCGTAATAATTCTCTCTAAAAGGAAAATAAAAAAGACAAAGAATTCTTAACACGCCATTTATTGGAGGGTCACATTAAATTCACACGCTATGCAACAATAAATTCTTACTGAAAGAAATTCTTCCTTGTTTTAATCAGTACTTCAACTTGTTCTTATTACAAGTTTTAAATAATTGATTGTCGTATAACAAAAAATCAGTTAAAATTAGTTAAAAGTAACAAATAGCTAAAAAATATGTTTTTGTTTGCTCTTATAATAAACAAAAAAAAAGGTGAAAGAAAATATATGGAGAAATATTATGAGGGAGGGTGACAAAAGGAGGAGAAAAATTAATTAAAGGCAAAATGGTAAAAAATGCATTAAATAGAGAAAAAGTTTTGCCTTCCTTCTTCAGACAGCCAAATCCAATTCAATTCTCCTATTTCAAACATTAACACTTAGAGAAGCAATTACAGAAGAAGAAAAAGAGGGCACACCTAACGAACAAAACAGAGATGCGGGGGAACAGAGGAACACACACAGAGCAATGCCAGCTTCAAACGAATCACCAAGAAGCAGCAAGGAAAAAAGAAACAAGAGGCGAACTGCATCACCCCACACCACCAAGGTGACAGGCAGCAACAGCAGGAGGAGAAAAATGACGAGGCAGCAACAGCAGGAGGAGAAAAATGACGAGGCAGCAACAGCAGGAGGAGAAAAATGACGATGATTTCTCAGGAATAGTAAGCAAAGAAGAGGCCGACGGCGGACGGACAACGGCGCAACCACACCGGGAGGAGAAAAATATCATGAAAACATATATATACACGCACAAAAGGACAATATGGTGATTGCATAGTGTGTGTGTGTAAAGACAATATCGTAATTAAAATGATGAAAGTTTCTCTCATACAACACATAATCAAAATATCAAATAATTAATACCTCTGATTCTTAATATGAGAGCTAGATAACTAATTTGAAGAAATTAAAAAAATTAATAAGTTGGTTAATTATAACAAATATGTGTTCATTTTTCTAAATTACTCCTTTTCATTATGTGCACTGGAACTATCCTTTGATAGAAAGGAGGCCTTATGATCAATAGGAAACTTTTCGGGGGAAAAATAGATTTGAGAGACAAAATGAATTGAAGTTTTATATTTAGGATCAAATTCAATCTCCAATTAACTCTTATATTAAGAATCGGAGACGGTATTTTACATTACTTTTAATGCCATTACAGGATTTTTGCCATCTTTGAACATTTCTATGCAACACAGTCCATTCGAACTTGCTTACAACAAAACACGAACAGTGAATATGCATAATACTTAGTTGACCTACGGCCATTGGATTGTATATATGTTAATACTTCCTCCTGAATCCTTTTCTATAGTCCTTAATACATACAAATGACATAAAAACCTTCTTCATATAATCTATGAAGAAGGTTTTTACGTCATTTGTATGTATTAAATTAATGTATCCAGGACAATTTTAAATATCCATCAAGCATGCATAAATATAAAATATGATGTTTAATATAAAACCAGAAGGGTTGATCTACGTACCTTGGAAGTATAGACTCATCTTCTTCAACAACGAACTAATCATGATGTCTGGAGCATTAAGTATAGCCTCCATCTTTCTCAACGTCGATTCGTGTAACATCAGTAGCCTGCAATATTTTCATCATTGGCTCAGGACCCAGGATTTGCCTACCCATTTCCCCATTAAGTGCTCTTTTAGCAAGTAAATCAGCAATGCCATTGCCATCTCTGTGAAAGCCCCGGGTAACCACAAACCAATCCCACTCTAGCATCCCTTTGATTTCCATGATCAGAGCAATATCCTTGTGCGTCTCAGGGACTTCAAATTTGATCAATCGAACAGCCTCAGTGGAGTCGCTTCTCAAGTAAACGCCTTTAATACGAGCGTCCCAAGCTCTTTTGAGACCCCTGAAGCAACCCCATAGTTTTGCTTTGAGGATATCTCCACCACTTAATTTCAGCAGAAAAGCCTCCTTCATATAATTGCTGCCATCTTTAAGAACGCCTCCACAAGCTACTTTGTCATCTAAACGAGAATAGGCGCCACCCACTTCTACAACAGTATCATCATGTCTCGACCAGGGACTATAACCTCCACTGTTGACGTCTGGATCAATCTTCACGTAATTATTGATGATACTTCAACCTTCGTCCCTTGTTCTTCACCAAGCTTCTACATCTTCTTTACATCTTCTTTACACACGGCTCGCCACCCACACTTGCTTATGTTTATCCTTGGTGACTTATTCTTCATTGCATTCTTGGAGAAAAGTACCATTTGGGATCCGTTTATAACCAAAGAGGAATAATGGATATATGCTATATAAAGCAGAGGACTCGAAGACGTACAAAAAAAAATTTTATTCCTATAATACGAGTTTGGAAATTCAGCATTAGGAAATCTGCAACTCCAACAAATTGCATCCCACCCCTCTCCAAATGTGAGATCGTATTCTATGACTAAGCATACGGCTATGCCCCACCATTCACGTGAACCACAATAATCAGGGGATATATTTATTATGAACGACACATTTGGACACCAACAGAATTCTCTCTCACCAAAGTAGTTTTGATTATAAAACCATGATGGTACTTTGCTACCTGGAATTGTTAATATGCGAACAGGTGGGCGGAGGGAAACAAACTGGGACAAGAAAAAAGAAACAAATTGTTTGAATCAGATGTATGTTGATTAACACGTAAGAAATGGTAATATATATGTACAAGTCAAATAAACTATATATTTATTGTCGAAGAAATTAAGGAAAAAACAAGTGATTCTAAAAACTCAATTTCTGAAGCCCATCTTATAATTGCTGACTTCATATTTAAATGGTTGTGAACTATAAGAAACAACTTTCCATGTTAAAGAAGTAAAATGATTGAGGTGAAAGAACAATTAAAGACAAATAAAATAAACCTGAGGTTGAAATGATTCAATGAAATCCCATAATTGATGTGCCCATCCGTAATGTTTCATTGATGAAGAAGCATGAGCCCATATAATTGATAGATTTGACGGAAGTTGCGGCAAGGACCGAAGCCTTGGGCACCTCCAGAGACCAATCCTTTTAAGCTTCGAAAGATTGGAAATGAGGCCAGATGGTAAGTCAATGAAATTGTTTCCACTTAGATCTAAAGTTTCCAATGATGATAACATGCTGATATCATCGGGAAGTGATGCGTCATGGAGATTGCAGTTTGTTAAGCGTAAACGCGTCAATGATGACAAAGACGGCAAAAACATAAAATCTGTTGAGCTTGAAGGCCTTTGAAGAAGGGATAAGCAACCCCATGATGACGAAGATTGTGCTTCACCATTGTAGTCACTAAATGATAACCCTTTTATAGCAATTCCACTCAAATGAAGCTCTTCCAAAGCTTCATTTTCATTCAAATTCTCTGGCAACCTTGAAAACTTTGAGCATTGAGAAATTTTGATAACTTTCAGAGCTTTCAACTTACTAACACTACATGGAAGATGGACCAGCTTTTTGCAGTTCGTCAAATTTAATTCAACGAGACCAATCAAATTGCCCAGTGATTGAGGTAGTTTGGCTATAGCAGTCTTCTCTAAATCAAGCTTCGATAGACATGCCATATCTTTTCCAAGCTCAGGAAGTTTTCTAACTTTTGAACAACCCGATAGAATAAAAGTCTCCAAGCTATTCATCTCAAATTTTTCTGGAAGGGTTTTAACTTCTTTGCAATCTTTCAAGTCAACAGTGATAAGTTTCTTGTGTTGCCCAAGAGACTGGTGAATTTCAACCAAGTTAGAACACCCTTCAAGAATCAACTTTTCAAGATGCGGAATTCCATCAAAATTAGGGGTTTTGATGAGGTATTCTGAATGAGATAGATCAATGAACTTCAAGCTTTGAAGAGACTAACAATAGGGGAAAAAAGAAAAATCAAAAACCAAAAACTAATTATAATTTAGTGGATTATGGATAAACAATTTAAATAAAAAGACTGTAATTACCTGTTTTCCTCTCCAAAGTTCTTTTAACTTGCTATGTCGCATTTTTAGCACAACAAGTTGATTGAGTTGAGGTTGAGGTTGACTTGGCAAATAAAATAATGGATACCCCTCCCATTCCATGACTCTCAACTCTTTGGAAAGGGACTTGAGTCCAAGCCGAAGATTCAATTGGCAATGTGAAACATGTGAGCGACTTGAAATGATAAGTAACTTGAGATTACTCAGTTTTGAGAAGGCTTCAGGATCCCAAGATACATCACATGACTTTTCTAACTTTAGCATTATTCCCCGGGTTACTTCTGTACCCTATAAAACAACAAGTCAAGGTAAAAATGTACAAAAGTCATGCAATAAATTATTATAAGAGTGCACAAACACAAGAACTTTGGAATGTCACCTTATTTCCTCCTAATACATGATTGGCATCATCCAAGGACAATATCCTAGAAAGCTTGCTGGCATCACCAGATGATTCTTGATAGACAACATGTTTAGCCATATTTTGCAGAATTTCATGCACCCACAAACGCCCTTCATGATTAATTACTAGTGATTTGTCCATAAGAACCCTTATTCCAATTTTTGGGTGAAGATCCTTATCCAATGTTTCTAAAATGTGTATGATATGATCTTCGTCCATCCCATTGAAAAAGCAAGCAATATCCAAGAATATAGTCTTCTCATTATGGTCTAATCCATGAAGACTCACTTCAATTATCTTTGAAATGTCCTCTAGAGGATATTTCTCGAACTTAGCTAGTGCATCTTCCCATTCCCCTATCGTCCTTTTGCAAAGAAATGAACCTAACACTTTGACTGCTAAAGGAAGGCCTCCAGCATATTCAATGACGTTTTTAGCAAGGTTCAAGTAATCTTCATTAGGTTGCCCTTCTTTAAAGGCATTTTGAATGAGAAGTTCAAGGGACTCATTATCAGTCAAGAATTCAATGCCATATATCGCACTGTCAGATACACTATATGATGATAGCAAATGCTTATCCCTTGTTGTTATCACTATTATGCTCCCTTTGCTGAGCCATCCTTGCCTTGGAGCGAAATTTTCAAGTTGCTCAATATGACTCACATCATCAAGGACAAGTAGAATTTTTCTGTCTGTCAACTTGCTTTTTATTAACTCTGTTCCTTCATAAGAATCAGTCACTTCCATACTCCTTTTATCTAAAGAAAAAAGAAGTTTTCTTTGCAATGAAATCAAATGATCTTTTTCACATGCCTCTCTAATATTAGGAAGAAAACAATGACTCTCAAAGTTTCTGCATTTTCGCTCATAAAAGGCTCTAGCAAGAGTTGTTTTGCCTGCACCTCCTGTGCCCCATATTCCTATAAACCCATCTCCTTCCGATTCACTTTCTGCCATTGACTCCAATTTATTTAATTTTGGTTCAATTCCAATTAACCTGCCAAGACTTGATGCTGATTTATCAAGTAACTTTAACTCCATTTCTTCAACAATGCTTTCAATGAATTCTGCTTCATACCTACATATGAAAATAAAATTACAAAGTGATTTTTTTTCACACGAAAATAGCATGATCGTTTAAGTCAATTGAATTTTAAATTTTTATGCATAAACAATCAAAAAAACAAAAAAAAAAAAGTAGGTAATGTGAGATGTAAAGAAAACATGACCTCAAATTTAGCAGTTTTAAGTTTACAATGAAATTTAGTTTAAATTAGTAGGAATAGCGATAATCTCATTTATAGAAAAGTTGTACATTGCCTCTAGTATTTACAGAAATAGACGGTTACTCCTCTGGTCCTATTTATAGGGCAGAGAGAGAAGGTTTTTTTTTGTCCTATTTATAAGTCACCTCATTAACTTTTTACTATGACTTTACCATGTTGTCCTTCATTTATTATAATGTAGATAGTTACTTTTTTGAAAAAGGTATATATTAAATAGGGGTAAAGTTGAAAAGTTACTATATTTTAATGAGGAATTAATGCAGTTTAAGGTTTTTCTTGGTCTGTGTGAAACTTGTTGGAAGTGCCTTATAAATAGGACCAGAGGAGTATGTTTATATGTCCACCCACTTTAATAGCTCCTAGATATCCAAATCATTTAATTAACGCATCATAGTTTGAGTTTCTCTTTTCTCGTAATACGTTTTTATTGATATTTGAGTTCTTTTTTCCTTAATTTTATTGAAGTAACTTTTCACAAATTAAAAGTTCGAATCTAACGCTATATAGTAACGTTTTCAACTATCAAAAAAAAATTTCTATTAATTATTTATTATTTATTAATAAACAACGAATTTCAAAATTTGGAGAAATTATGAATTTTTAATATTAATTTTTAATGGTTGAATATTATATAATAATATTATATGTGTGTATGTGTGTATTCAAGAAAATGACTACTTCAGAATTCTGTCATTAATTGAGTTCAAGTCGAAAACTTAAATCATCTACAACCAAAACAGTACTAAAGTAGTACTACAAGTCTATTTTACCAAGAAATAGAAATACAGGTCTACATCTCATCAAAAAAATAAAAAAATAAAAAAGAAATACAGGTCTACAATTAAATAGAAGGGTAAAAACATTAATTACCTTTCTATTTTACTTCAATTGCCTATACGAATATTATTTATATTTTAAAAACATATGTAAACCTCCTTATATGTTATTTTTATCTGTTCAATCATTAGTTTATTCAATTGTTAAGTGACCATTAAATTTAACTTCTAAACTTTTATTTTACCCAAAGTACCTCTATTTGACATAAAAAATTATTTAAATATTTATATTTGTCAAAAACATAATTTTTTTTATATAATAGAAAATAATTCTGATTCATATAATTTCAAACTTTCTAAATTGTTATAAAATTTATTAATTATTAATTTTGATTATACAACGAAATTGTATAATTTTTTTTATTACATGTATTGAAATGTATTTATTTAGATTTCTTTTAAATTGCCGAGAGTATATTTCAAATGCGTATTTTATTCATTATATATAACAAATGATGTAAGTTTAACAGATTATATGAATAACATAAATTTGTAATCTAAAATTTTTAAACATATTTTTGTAATAAACATTTATGAATTTAGTAATACATTTGTTGGGCTGAATCCATAAACACATTTAGTCAAGTATATATTTATTAAAAGAAATTACTAAAATTCTTAATTAAGTTCTTTATATCTATGCTAATAAAATTACTTAAGTTTTTATCCCAATACGATAAAAACGTTAGAAAAATAATTATTTGCAAGAGAAAAATTAAGAGAAAGAAAAAGAAAACGCTTAAATTCTTCAAAATAATTTTATCAAAAATTAGGAATTTAGTATGATAAAGAATAAATTAGTAAATAAATATATTCTAGTATAAATTTTAATTAAAAAAATACCATTTTAAAATATTCCAAACAAAGTTAAGAATTTAAACTTAAGTGTATGTTTTTAAAAATAGATAAAAGGTCAATATAATTAAGGTAAAATGGATTAAAGGAATTTTTTTAAAATAAATGACGTTTATAATTCGTTTTAGTCCCCGCCCACCTATTTTAGGGAGGGACCTAGTCACAAGCCCAACACAACACACCCTATCCTTAGGTGAATAGGTCCCACAATCTCCTCAACAAGAGAGAATGAGGCTAATCTTATACTCCTCCGGTCTTTAATATAGGACTCAATTTTTAAGTTGGTTTTGGTTTTAAATATAAGATTTATTTGTTATATTTATTAATTTTTTCTAAACCATCCCTATGAATACTCTCTCAACCATAATCAAGTAGAAGAGAAAGATGGAGTATTAAGAAAGATGATTATGGTGTTTTAGGAAAAATGTGTCACTTTTCTTATAATTAACTAACTTACTTAACTTTCTTAATCTAATCAAATTAGTTAAATAAGTCTTATATTAAGAACCGGAGAAGTAATTTAGAGTATATTTGAATATCAACATCCTTATTTTTGAACAAGATCAGGGAGATAATTATTAAGAGAAGTGGAAATTACCGATCGTTTAACTCTGAACCACATATAGCAGCAACTTTTTTTAAAGCATCCCTCCACTTTTGCACCTTCATTTTATCTTCGGCAAATCTTTCTTCGTGCTTTATGAATGCCTCTGCAAAACTTCCTTTTAGTTTCCTAACATAGGAGGGATCTAGACGGTAAAATAGTGGAAATACTTGAAAACTTGACTCTTCCTTTAGCTGCAGGATCTTTTGAAGCTCATCCAAACACCAAGTTGAAGAAGCATAGTTTGGAGAAAGCACAACAATTGCACCACGAGATTCTTCAATTGCTTGTAGTAAACTTGGATTAATAGATTCTCCCCTTTCAAGTTCTTCCTCATCCCGGAAAGCTCTTAATCCTTTGCGTTTTAAAGCAGCATACAAATGATCAGTAAAATTTTTCCGAGTATCTTCCCCTCGAAAGCTCAAAAACACATCATACTTCCTTCTCTTAGTTGAAGTAGAAGAACTTGAAGAACACCCGACTCCATCAGCATCACGCGCCATTGCAAGGATGTGGAATCTGAACCCAAACAAAAGTAAAAACACAAAACCAGAAAGAATAATACATATAGAATAGGAGCTTCAACAAAAAGTGCAGCAATCAGTGAGGGGGATACTGAAGACGGAAGAAATTGGACCAATTTTTCATGATTTGATCAGGGTAAATATATGAGAGGCGTGATTTGATCCAGCCTGCTATGAATCAGGCAAAACTTTGAGGCAGAACATAAATCTAATTCGCAGATTCAAAAGTTCATGAAAATTTGAAAGATAGTCTAAAAGAATTGGCAAGGAAGAAAATAGATCCCAGGTTAATTGAATTGATAACTAACGAGCTAGGGGTTGACCCGCTCAGCTGTGCCCCCATCTGTCCCTTAATTTTGGGAGGCCTTTCCAATTGCTTTCAATATTTGAAAAATCGGATAAAACTGAAATTTGAAAAATGAATAATTTTTTGCCTATAAGATGTCAAAATATCACTCATTTTATATAGAATCTAATAAAAAAAAACTAAAAAGAAACATTTGGAAAGGACCCCAAAATTAAGGCGTAGCTGGAAGTGCAGCCGGGGGAGCTGACACCCTGTGCCTAACTATATTTATATTTCTTACAAAGCAAAAGTTTTGTATTCAAAGAAAGCATAATCACAAAATTAATGCTTGAAAGGCTAAATCCATTTGAAAGGGGGGAAAAAAACAAAATAATAGAAATTATTCGTAAACTGACAGTGGTAGCCATGACAGATGCACAACATAATTACAAAGGAAGAAAACAGGAACCTGATGAATGAAATAAGTGAAAGATTTCTTCAATCTGCGACCTGATCGGAAGAAGATGAAACCCAGTTATGCACAGATTTGTATTTTTGAGGATGAAGCTTTTGGAATCAGCTCAAGTCTTCTCTTTAATTTAACAAGCTTTTACCCAAATGTTCTTTTCAAACCGCGTGGCTGTCTTCCACTCTGCAAGAATTTTTTATTATTGATCAGCTTACAAATGTTCTCTGAAATTGGGATATAAAGAATACTTCTTGAAGTACCGATTTGAGGGCTTTAACAAACTAAAGTGACTCTAGGATCAGAAAAAGTTTAATATTTCTCAATCCTAAATATAAAACCTATTTTGTAATATAAATTATACTACAAAATAAATATATTTAAGACCGGAGGGGGTACTTTATTAGGGTGAATGTAGATATGTAGTTTGTTTTTCTTTGTATAATAGATCTTGAACTGGTTTGCTTGCAAGAGCTTGATTTAGCTACCAACACGGCAGTGCAGAGTTGGTTTAGCAGCGTCACACAAGATTTTTTTTGGATTTCAAGTTTAAGTTTCAGAGAGGACACTTGCACTGCGATAAGCCACAAACCCCGAATTGGATTGGATTGGTAGATTATTCGAATACCTGGTAATAGGATCCAAAAAAAAAAATCAAATACGGGATAACCGTATTAAAAAAAAAAAAGAGAGCCTGATTTAGCCTGGAATTACGAATCAGATTACACTTATGGCAGCATTTCTAGTTGAAAGAATTTCACACAACTTCTTATTGTTTTTAAAGAATTTCTAGTTGAATTTTTTTAATATTATTTTTACCAAGTTAAGTAAAGTTCCTTCAATTTGTCAGGCGTCTTTACTGTAATAATAAATCAGACTACGAGAGCCAT